GCGAGGCAGAGCGTGTGTGTGTGAACACCGTGGGCTCCTTCAGGTGCGACTGTAGGCCCGGGTATCGAACCACCGGCCTGGGGAGACAGTGCAGAGGTGAGTTCACTGTCTACAGTACCTAGGGCTGTCAACCTTAACCACTGACGACTTACTGCAGAGATACATTTTACTATTGATCTGAAGTTTATCTGTTAACTTTTTTGTGTGTGTGTGTGTGTGTGTGTGTGTGTGTGTGTGTGTGTGTGTGTGTGTGTGTGTGTGTGCGCACTCAGACATTAACGAGTGTTTGGAGGGAGATTTCTGTTTCCCCAGAGGAGAGTGTATGAACACAGTGGGATCCTACACATGTGTGTGTTCTCAGGGATTCACACTGAGCGAGAACAGGACCGCCTGCCTGGGTGAGTATGTGTGTATGTTCACATTTGTGTTACCTATTGGGGACGTTATGTGGTTTACACATTGACCTTGTCGGGACCAGCAGTCCTTCTGAGGTCCTGGTTAGGTTAAGGGTAAGATGTGCATTGGGGTTAAGGTAAGGGGTTGAGTTAGGCTGTTAACGATGAAAAGGTGTGTGTGTGAGTCTGACTTAGGCTACATTCAGGGACCCATACTAAAGACTAGTTAATTGGGGTCAAAGGTTTTATCTCCATTTTGGAAAGAGCTGAGTTTTATGTCAGTGGTTAGTCACTGAAAATGTCGAGGAAACAAACGATGGAAATTGTTGCACGTGAAAAGATTCTGGGAACACTGAATAAAATAAATTAGATGACTAAAGTCCAGGCGAAAGGAAAAATTAACCCTTTTAAGATCACATCCTTATATTGTTCACATATTTAACAATTTATGCTAAAATATGTAACATAAACTCGAATTCTTTATATTTTTATATTAAATCATCATTAAATCAATCATCATGGCTTCCTGTGAAACTGAATGTGACGCATGCTTACGTCAACATGAACTAACTGATTTCAACCAATAATGTCCTGATATTCACCCGTCATTCAATCTTCAGACAGAGGACAGTTTGACGACAGCGGTACCGAGGTGATTTATGGGAGTTTCCAGATGGACTTATTGCTAAAAAGAAGCTAACTGTCGCTAACAGTAATGTTAACTAGTTAGCCAACTTTGCCCTGGGGTGTCAGGAGCCAAAACCGGCAATTAAAACACCTCAGTACCTTATTTCCTGTTGTCAAACTGTCCTCAACAAGACAAATTATAGAAAAACATTTGGGTAAGTTTCCAGGAAATAAATGAAAGTCTGTGTAATGTCTCTTTAAACCGGGACTTTTCCTTTGGACTCCACCAGGAGAGTCTGTGTGGACTGCAGGAAGCTGCTGTCGGTCGATCTAAACAGAGTCTGTGAACACAATACTGTAAAGTTTAAAATGGAGGACGTGTCTTCAGTCAGTACCGTGTTCTGATCCGTGTTCTGTATATTGAGTGTTTGCAGACAGACGTGACTGCGGTTCAGTCGATGGAAACAGACCTCATGTTGTTCACAGCTCAGGTCTCCTTTGGTCCTGCTTATACAGCTGATGTAATGGTGATGTCATCTTTGGCCCGTCCTCATGACGACGACATATATGTGTGTGTGTGTGTGTGTGTGTGTGTGTGTGTGTAGATGTGGACGAGTGTGTGAAGCCAGGTGTGTGTGTGGACGGTCGCTGTGTGAACACTGAAGGCTCCTTCCAGTGCCAATGTCAAACCGGCTTCACCACCAACCCAGAAAAGACTGCCTGCCTCGGTACAAAACACACACACACACACACACACACACACACACACACACACACACACAAACACTCCCTAACAACTAATTTTAACCCTAAAAACCAGTATTAAAGCTCTAATCTGTAACATTTCCTCATTACACTGTATAAACTCTAGATTTGAACCTCAGTCCGTTACGTGTTAGCTGAACCTTTAAACACAACAACTTCTCTCTCTCTCTCTCTCTCTCTCTCTCTCTCTCCTTCAGATGTTGATGAGTGCGTCTCGTCCTGGCGGGTCAGTGTGCGGCTCCCAGCGGTGTGAGAATACGATCGGCTCTTACCGCTGCTTCACTTCCTGTGAGCCGGGCTACCAGGTCACATCGACGGGCAGCTGTGTCGGTGAGTCTGACGGCACATCACAACCCTACACACACACACACAAACACACACACACACACACACACACATCATCACAACCCTTCATACACTCTTTTATTGTGAAAGAGACAGAGGAAGTGGCTCACCTCTCCTCTCCTCTCTCCCTCAGACATCGATGAGTGTGCCAATCAGACGGTGTGTGGGGAACACGCTTTCTGTCAGAACCTGCAGGGAACCTACCTGTGTGCATGTCACCAGGGCTTCACCTCCACCGTCGATGGGAAGGACTGTGTGGGTGCGTAAAAAAAGTATCTACGTTCATTTGAAGATATCTGCTCATAGATTATCCAAAATGATTCTTTCTCGTCATTCTTCAAGTTGCTAATCAGACTGCAGATATCTGTTAGCTCCACTGGAGGCCCTGAAACGTTGGCCGTTGCCCCCAGAAGCTAACTTCTCTTCAGACGATAGTTGATGACTGTCTGTCGTCTGTCTGTCTGTCTGTCTGTCTCTCAGATGAGGACGAGTGTGTCTCTCTGCCCGGTGTTTGCGGTTCTGCTCGCTGTGAGAACGTTGAGGGTTCCTTCATGTGTGAGTGCGACAGACGAGGAGACGAGTTCGACACCGCCAGCCGACAGTGTGTCAACACCGCACAACAAGGTACACGAGACCAAATCTTATTCTGGCCCTGAGACTAAATAATCCAATAATTTATTCATCCAGTAGACCATTTTTATTCCAGATATTTTTAAGAAATGGTCAACGACAGAATCTGGACCAATATCTGATCAGCACTGCCTAGTTTGACAGTTTGATCTGAGTTTGGTGCAGTTTCATGTGTTGTTCGTGCAGTTTTTAGTGTATTTTTCAGGTTTTTTGTGCACTCAATATTCAACCACTGAAAATTTCCTTTCTTCTCCTGCAATAGAGTTAGCCATCTACTCCTCATCCTCTTCATCCTCCTCCTCCTCCTCCCATGTCAGCGTGGGGGCTCCGGTGCTGCCCCCCCTCCCTGCGGCCCGGCCCGGGGAGCTGAGGGAGTGTTACTACAACCTGGCTGAGCGGGGAACCTGCAGCCTGCTGGCCACCAACACCAGCCAGCAGGAGTGCTGCTGCACAGTGGGCGAGGGCTGGGGGCTGGGCTGCCAGTACCACGCCTGCCCCCCCGCAGACACAGGTGAGATACAGGAAGTGAGTCAGCAGTGAGGCTGGAGGATTGACTGTCCTCTAGCACCACCCTCAGGACAACGTGTCCTTTTACACAAAGAAACTAACTGATCTGAGTGCAGCAGCTCGTGTTAGAAGAAGCTGTTAGATCTAAAAGCTGCTGCAGGCCTTTAACTGTAAAATCTCTTTATACATTGTGACTGACGGTATCGATAACAAACACTCAAATGTCCATCCTCTTGTTTAATGTGATTAAAACTGTGTTTCTGTGCAGCCGAGTTTCTGTCTCTGTGTCCCAGTGGGAGAGGATACGTTACAATAGCACCAGGAGCCTTCAGCTACAGAGGTACACCGCATCTAAACTGTGGCTCTACACCGTCGACATATATAAAGATGGATGACATGAGTGAAGCCAAAACCTCTTTATCTTCGCTCGGTGTTTGTTGAGTTGTAATAAAGCAGAATTTTCCTGTTTTTACTGCCAGATGTGGACGAGTGTAAACGTTTCCATCCAGAGGTTTGTAAGAACGGAGTGTGTGTCAACAACATCCCCGGATACAACTGCTACTGCTCCAGTGGATATGTCTACAACAGCACGCTGCTGGAGTGTGTCGGTACGCACAGCACACACACACACACACAACTACACTGCCCTCTAGAGGCTAATACCATCGCTACACTAACTTTGAAAACAGAGAAATGACTTCAAAGTTTTCTGACTGTGCAGCCAACTGTGTTTTAGGTAGAACAGCAAATATGTGCTAATGACCAGATGATACTGCACTCTGTATTAGCATAAACAGATATATAGGTTGTGTCTTCTTCCTGAGAAAATCTATTTTTTTACATTTCTTATTGTTTCTTGTGTAAAAAGCACTAGTGCAGTAATATCCAAACTATTATTCCTATCTGCTCCAATGGGCTCAGCTAATAATCCACAGATGGAGACAGTCAGAGTTCCCAGTGGAGAACATCAAGATTCCCTTTGTTTTAATTCCTACATTATCCTGAAATTGATACTGAAGCCACAGTTACTGCAGCCAAAGCTGCACTTACAGACATTTAAAAGTTCAATTTCAGTCATAAATCAATTTTGACCAAAATTGTAGTAACTGTGGTTTGCCTCTGGAGGGCGGTACAGTCTAGTAACACAGACAGCCAGAGACACGTTCTCTTATAACCTTTATTTAATCTCACTCAGATCTAAACTTGAATACAGCAGAAGAAATAAGAACAGAGACACAATTGATCACACACACATCTCTATTTAATATAACGTAACTGTCTGTCTGTCCACCTGTCTGTCTGCCTCAGACCATGATGAGTGTGAGGAGGAGAGTTGTATCGGAGGAGTTTGTGTCAACACGGTGGGTTCGTATTATTGCAGCTGCCCACATCCTCTGGTGCTCGACGATACCCAACGCAACTGTGTCAACTCCTCCCACCTCACTGTGGGTAAGACCTTCACCTTCAGTTCACTCACCCTCCTTCTTCTTCCTCCTCTTGTTTAAATTGCTCTTTAATAGCAGATTTAGATGAATCCAAAAAAGTTGCATGTTGGTGTTGGGTATCAATTATCGTTTGTCTGTAATTGGTTACCAAACTAGGTATAGTTTGGTAACAGAAGGTATAGCCTGATGCACTTAATAATGCCCCTAACTCTGATTAACTTAATTTCATAAGTTTTAGTCCAATAATTTGACACTAATTGTTGTGTGTTTCAGAGTCAGTTAATAAAGATTTGGTTTTGCTGTAGATACAGGGCAGAAATCAGTGCTACAGATACAGGGCGGTGGTCAGTGCTATAGATACAGGGCACAGGTCTGTACTTTCTTTTTGATTTATATAATAGTAACAATAATGATATTATTAATATTAACTTTATATCATAGGTTTAAGTAAAGTCCAATTATTTGACATTAATTGTGTGATTGCTGGTGGACTATAGGTCAGAGTAGCAGGCTTGTGACTGGTCTCTGGTTCGATCCCGGGACCGACCACGACTGTGGAGCCCTTGAACAAGAAAACTTAACGACCAGCTGATCCAGTGAGGCGACCATCATATCAAACTGCATTGGATTGTAACCAAGTAAAAGATCAGAGTAGCTCCTCCACTGTCAGACTGGTTGTACTGGGCAGCATCCACTTATTATCTCTTTCTCATTGTCTGTCCTCCAGATGAGAACCTGTCTGTCTGCTGGCAGCATGTCACGGCGGACCTGGTCTGTCAGAGTCCTCTGCTGAGGGCTCAGGTCACCTTCATGGACTGCTGCTGCCTGTACGGGGAGGGCTGGGGGATGGAGTGCGCCCTCTGTCCCTCCACCGACTCCGGTAAGTATCTCACAGGAAATCAAAAACACACAAAGAGGCAATTAATCAAACATTTTATCAAGATCAGAAGTATCCAAATAGGGATTAAATCTTAAAATTGGGTCTTTTAAAACAGGAGACGTCATCCTGAAAAAAAACTTAGTTCGGTAATCAAATCCCATCCAGAATCGAGATCAAATGTTGTTTTTGGGTAGATGGAGATTAGTTTTGATAGTTTTGATGCTAAAAATCAGGATGCTCCTGATCCCAGTGGAAGGGTGGATCCAGCATGGATTCAAGGTGGATGTAGAGGCCGAGGTTATTATAGTACAGTAAAATGTAACTAAAAGCTAAAACTAGGTATGAAACAACATTTTAGTTAATAAAAAATAAAAATAAATAACTTTGTACTAACAAAACCAAAATAATATGAAAATACACAAGAAATGTATTTAGTTTTAGTCAGTTTGAACCTTCTTTAATCTTGCCATGGATAATTATTATAAAACTTAAAAAAACATTTAAACTAATAACTAACCTCAAGCAATTAAAACAATAATGCAGATAAATATCAATAATATAATATAAATATATATATAGATTATAAGGTAGCAAAATAAGGGATAAATCTGGATAATTCTGATCTAGATTAATGGTTTTGGAGACAGTATTTATTGGGAAGATATAACCGCGTGTCGTCAGCAAATTATATGACCCAGTGGAAGTATGTAGAAGGAGAATAGGACCCCATCAGATTATGTCTGATGTGTTTTATATTATTAATAATGAGATTATAAAATCTGGATAATTCTGATCTGGATTCAGTGTTTTGAAATACTGGAACCTCGATACCGCTGCAACTTTATGCAATGATCATATGTGAGTTCTTATTTTTACAGCCAGGTGGATTTAAAAGATGTAAAATAATATTTAATGCAAAGTACATTGTACTAAATGCACAACTTTCTTGGTTTTTGCCTTAATTTGAATGTCCAGGATAATTTACAGCCTACTTAATAGTTATTAACAACAATTGTAATTTTTTAGTGGATAAAACTGATAAAAACCTCTTGACATAAATACCACTGTGTTAAGTAAAATTTTTTTTATGAAGTAATAGTTTTCATTAATCCAGATTTCAGGAGGTGCTGAGAACTTCTAGTGTCTTTACATTAATTGTGTTTCTTTCTGTCTGCAGAGGACTATGCCAGTCTGTGCAGTTCGTTTCCTGCTACATTTACAGAGAGTTTTCCGGACTCCACCGGACCCGGAGCTGGACGAGGAGGAGCCGGAGTGGGTGAGTCAATTTGCTGTTTTAATTATTTTATTTCATATTTATGTCTCCTTTATGTTTCTAAATATCTCCAACGTTTGTTGTCTTGAAGTTTATTTATCTCCTCCCCTCCTCAGCTCCTCCATACTTCCCTCCCTACGGTTCGGACTCCTTCTCTCCAGTAGTGGTTCCCGGCAGAGACTTCGGTGGTTCAGACTATGACGATTACTCTCCAGCAGGGGGCAGCAGGTCTGGCTTCAGAGGGAGGACTCCCGCCACCTTCAGCCTGCCGGACGGAGCCTATGGCAGGCCAGAGTACAGGTGAGGAGGACACACCTGGTTTAACCCTGCTTACAAATTACACACATAATAATAATAATAATAATAATAATAATAATAATAATAATAGTAGCTGCAGTAATGCTGTACCTAATGGGGAAAATACAACATCTGTCTGTCTGTCTGTCTGTCTGTCTGTCTCTCAGCACTGGTTACTACTCTGAAGGAGACTTCGGACCCCCCAACGGCTCCCCACCCAGGACTCCGTCCTTCCGCGTCCCTCCGGACCCCCGCGGCGAGAGGGCATTCGGGGCCCGTCCTCCTCCGTCCCGGCCCGACGGCGCTCCTCTCAGCCTGGCCCCACTGCCCGGCGCCCCCTACCAGGAGCAGGACGAGGAGGAGGAGGAGGACGTGGCGTGGAGGCCGGGCCCGCCTTTCCCTCCGTTTGGGGAGAGGAGCAGAGGAGGAGGAGGAGGAGGAGGAGGAGGAGGAGGACCACCAAGGAGGGTGTATGAGAGTGAGTTTATTACTTTATTTTGTAATTTCTAATAATTTATGAGGAGGTTTCATAAAAAGAATAAAAGTAAAGCTTATATAAATAAACTTTATTTTTAGAGTTTATTATTGCAGTTGAATTAACTGTATTCAGTTCAGCAATTAATAATTTCTTAAAAATGACTCAAAACAATTGATTATAAAAACTGTTCATTGAATTCATTTAATAGTAAATAGATTAATTAATTGGTTATTCATTGCAGCTCTAATTAACTTTAGAAGCAGCTGTTGATTTCCACAAATATGAATTATTATTGGAAACTTCATCCTCCATGTAACGGTATTTCACAAACAGCTTTCAATTCATTGATAGTTACATATCAGTTAATTTGAAGGAATTTATTGTTATATTACATATTATAATTACTATGGGCAAAAATAAAAACTCCCAAAAAAAAAATAACTTTATTTATTAGATTAACTTAAGGAACTAATTTATTTATAATAAGTATATTAACATGTAATAAATCAATCAGACTTTATTTGTATAACTGATAAATAACTTTTTAAAGATTAGAAAAAGATGAAAAAATAGATAATAAAACAAATAAATAATAATAAGTTAATTTAGAAGCCAGATTAAAAAGGTCTTGTTTGGTTTATATTAAACATAATATTTAAAATAATATAGAATAGAATAGATAAATGAAGGTTCGCTCGGTGTTCAACTATCTGACTGACTAGTGGCTGTTAGAGGAACTGCAATGAACCTCTCTCTCGTCTTTCAGGGCCTTACGAGTCCTACGCCGGCCTGAGCACAGCAGAGGATTGTGGGATACTGCACGGCTGTGAGAACGGCAGGTGTATTCGCGTTGCCGAGGGTTACACCTGTGACTGTTACCAAGGATACGAACTGGACATGACCTCCATGACGTGTATAGGTACTGCAACCGCTAGCCGTGTTTCTGTCAACGCAAGTTTCATTCATTCACATTTTCTTCTGTTGAATTAATAAAAATTCGGTTCAATTTGCATCCTGTAGCGTAACATCATGGTGATAGGCCCCAGTGCAAATTTTTTTTTGTGCCCCCGCCCTTAACACAAGCGCACACACACACAGCCACTCGAGAGAACTGCTATTGTCACCATGCAGGCTAACGTTACAGGCCACACACTCATCCTGCATTTATGGATCTAGCTTTTGCCTGGGTTGCCTGGTCTGAGTAAAAAACTTATCTAATTTGGCCATTTTAGTTTTACCCTCATCCTGCTACTTTCTCTCCTTCCTCTTTTGCGCGCCGTTTTTTTGTTTAGGCTTGTTAAACATGATCGATACCTTTTCTAGTCAACTTTCATCCACTTGCTTTTTTTTCCTGTTGAAAGCAGAAACAACTCACGTCACGTCATCGCGACTCATCATGACTGACAGCTATCAAGGTGATTGGACAAATTATCATTTCATCCTCCCATACCAGCCACTCAGCGCTAGCCTACCTTACCGCCCCCCCCCCGAGCTATTTCATCCACAAAAACAATACAGCTGCTGGACAGCTCTTTTCTTTTTCTTCCTTCATTGGCCCCTGTATATATTAGTTATCGATTAACAAGCTAGTTAAGTAGTATTTGTTAACATTAGCGAACTGAAGATTTTTTTCGGTGTGTTTGCAGATATAAACGAGTGCGAGGAGGACGCCGCCGTGGATTTCCCGTGTGTGAACGCTCGCTGTGTGAACACTGAGGGCTCGTTCCGCTGCGTCTGCAGGAGAGGATACGTCATGTCCCGCAGACCGAACCACTGTGTGGCTGCGTAGACCGGACAGGACTGGACTGGGCTTGATTAGACCGGTCTGAACTAGTCTAGACGATCGAGACTACACAACGGCAGACTGGGCTGGACTAGATTAGACTAAACTGGCTTTACTTTAGAACCAGATTTGACAAACTAGACTTGACCAGACTAAGATTTACTGGACTTAGATACTGTAGACTGCACTAAACTGGGGACGGCTAAACTGGGCTAGTTTAAATACTCTTAATTAATGAGCAACAACCCATTTTAACTCTCTTGCTTTCTGTATTTATATATCGGGAATGAACACTGTGGACCAGCTTTAACTAATAGTGTCATAAAGTGACTACGTATAAATTAGCCCAAAACTAAATTCAAAGTTTGCTCGTTTCTGTGTGAGGAATTTTAATTATATTAGTTATTTTACAGTGTTGTTTATGTAGCGTCTCTGTCTCTATAACATTCATCATTTGGGAGGATTCGTACTGTAAATTAAGTCTCGGGCACTGAGGATGTCGTAATGCCAGAAATGTAGTAACGTACGGAGCGCTGAACCCGCTAATAAAATGAGTGTGCAAGTCAAAAGAAACACCAAAGATCAACAATTTATTTTATTAAAATGTAATTTCTCTAATAAGTAGAGTTAGTATATTTATGTACAGTCACTTTATTACACCATCAGTTGATTCTGATCATTCAGATAAATACTAAATAAATAAATAAGTTTTAGCCTCACAGAAAAGTCTGTTAAAACAGATCAAAATCACAGAGATGTACAGAGATCAATAAAAGCACACAGTGTCTTCCCAGTCTAAACCAGTCAAGCCCTGTTTAGCCCAGTGGTTGAAACCAGGCTAACCCAGAAGTAGACGCCAGGCTAGCTCTGATACGCCTCGTAGTACAAACCAGGCCGGCCCTCCAATGGGAACCAAGCTGTGCCAAAGTTCATCTTTATGTTTTCGACTCTATCTGGATGTTTATTGTATGAAAGTCCGGTAGGTTGTGGGGGGGGTGGGGGGGTTTGAGACGTGTGAAGTTGTGCAGTAGAAGAAGAAACAGTCGTGTGTGTCTTTTTTTTTTTTTTTTTTAAGGAAACTAACCAGGATTCACACGGAGCTCAAAACAACAACTTTACATTTTAACTGATATAAAATGAGTTCAGTCTAACTGAAGGAGCTCAGGTGTGTAAACTGAAGAAACTATAATCATAATATCTACACCACAAAGTATATAAAACACCTGGTTCACGCTTTACACAACAAACAAACTGTTCAATAACGCAAAGATTTGATCTGTAGACGTAAACATAGAGGAAAATATTGTCTCAATTTATTATGAATAAATTATATTAAGTTTAAAAAATAGGAGTATTGTTTAAGTATAACCCCATTCCTTCATTTTGTTGCTTTAAATACAGAAATAATATCCGACAGTACAGCTGTCAACTCATTTATGTGTTAGCGGTTGTAGCTGTCCCGTTGTGCACAACAGAATGGAGCTAACGTAAATATTTTTATCGTTAGCCACGAAGCAGCTCGCATTTTGTTGAATCTTCATGTTCATTTTATAATATTGCTGAAATTAATTTCTACACACCCCAATTAGTAATGAGTCATCCGCTAGCCAGAAACTAATAGCTAAGGTTACATGCTTGCTCCGACTATTACGAATATTTCGGGACGTTTTGGTTCGTTTGAACCGGCCACATGAAAACACATAATTTGTCAGTTTTTGTCAGGTAGAGTCAGAAGAAAGTTTTCTCTCTGCAGTTTATTCACACAGATCAGATAATATAAGTTTTATAATCAACACTGTCTGCATGAATAATTAATTAACACCGTGATTGATCTTCATTAAACCAAATCCAGCTAACAACAACGAATGTTTGTGATAAGTTTGCTGATATTTTATATTTTTCTTAAAGTCAAAAAATCTCATGTTCAGACTCAAACCTAAAGTAAACGTATATACTAACAAATATTGACCCTTCCTAAGCCACGCCCCTTTACGTCGTATGCCACGCCCCTTTTTTGCTTCAACTTCCTCCTCTTCTGTACTTAGATATGCAAAACACTAGCTAACTAGCTAACTAGCATCGTTAGGTAACTTTCAACCACCAAGCTTTTCTGCCAGAAGTGAAAATGTTGATTTTGTCCCAAACCCGGATATTTTCCTAAAACCTAACCAAATAATTTTATTACCTAAATCCAACCAAAGTGCCACTGAAAGCTTTAAATTCCAAAAGAAAAGGAAATTATAAATTATAAGCCTAAAAATCTGTTTCACAGCGAAATCAAACCACAGTAACCCGTTCTTAAAACGCTAACTAACTAACTAACTAACTAACTAGTTAGGTGGCTATCTATCTATCTATCTATCTATCTATCTATCTATCTGTAGAGCTCCATTGTCGTCCGCTGTTCCTTCATTAGCATGAACTCACACTGTAGTTTATTTACACACCGTCCTGCTGCCCCGAACACTCACTAGAGCTCCAAATGTGGATTCATCCGCCGTGGAAAATAGTCCCCAACAAATGCACTATTTCTTCCTGTTTGTTTGATTAAAAAAGTCCACAAACTAACACGCTGATGGTTTGAATCTGCACATGAGATTTGTTGATTGGGTTAATTATCAGATGACTTTTATAAATGTGTTGATGAATTACTGACTCGTCTGTACTTTTATATTTGACTTGCAGAACATGAATTCAAGCTGAATGTACTGGACGCTGCATTCAGTCACATTGTGTATATAATAATTCACATTCTTCCACAATAATCCAACTGAATGAAGCTGTTACAGCCTGTAAGAGAGTGCGTTTATTGTCTTTTTTTATTAACTTTCTGATGTGGTTAACATGCTGAATCCATCGTGATGAACTTTTCCTCCTCAGCACCTAAAGTTTGATGTATAACATGCACTGTATCCGCCAGAGATATCCGCCTTTTGTGTTCACACGAGAGATTTTTGTAAATCGTTTAAATTTCAGTCTCTGGTATTTTTTTTTTAAATTGTTCATTTTTATGGTTAATGATTCACTTTTTTATTATTATTGTTGTTTGTATGACAAGAAATGGAAATATATTTGCACACACTTTTACTGAAACCCGTCTGTGTCGTCTTTGTTTCGCGTTTGTTGTTTTTGTGCCTGAAATTTGTGCCTCAGTTAGTATTTCACAACTAACTGAGGTCACAACCTTTGACCCTCACCCCGACATAGAAACACATAGAAACCAGTCCACAGGCATCAGAGGAACAAAGCTACGCTACAACCTGTTCACTCTCTGCTCACACACACTGATTATACAGAGAAAGACTCACATATGGAAGATTTAACATGCTTTACTTGGACAGTAAAACAGAACAGACTCAGGTTGAATGCAGACGGTTAATCACAGTATTGCCCGGGAAGAAAACACCTGTAGGAGCTGAAACAAAGCTGTAGATATAATCTGGGATTCCCTTTGATTTTCATTTTTATTTACAGTTTTTTTCCCCACAATCCATCAGTACCTGTTGGTTTTGACCCTCAGCAGCAGTGACCCACTATACACTGATGGGAATCTGCTAACCAGCTAGCGTCGTGTACCGACTGTTTGTTGTTGTCGAGTCACCTCTCAGGTGATACTCGCGTGCTGATCGGCTCTAATCCTCCACCTGGCTCCATAACCTTAATGCCTGCACTGTTTATATGGATCCAGGTCTGTAAGCCTCTTTACATTATAGGCCAATCCGTCCACACACACTGCCTCCCTCAGCCAGCGTTAATGGGATTACACCGGTTCACCCAGTACTGAGGCTGAAACTGTGAGCCAGCGGAATATCAGCTTTCACTTTCACAGCTGATTACATATACACGCACACACACACACACACACACACACACACACACACACACACACACACACACACACACACACACACACACACACACACACACACACACACTGAGTGACAATAAATATACAAACTGCCTCCACTGATCTGTCAAATTCCAACCTACAGAGATCTATAATATCTATTTAGATTTAAAAATGTTTTAAGAGTTAAACTGAAACAGACTGCTGAAGAGACTTTAATCCCTCCTGTTATTGTTATAATAAAATATATGACTATATTTAGAAGCAGTGGCTGCATTAACTGTTAGGTTTTATTATAACAACATAAGTGAAGCAGATAATTATATTTCTCCATTGCACAAATCCTTCATCAGAACAATTGGATTATTGTACTTGGAACAATCTCCACCTCCAACATTGCCAAAAGACAATGAACACAGTTCTGCAGAATATGACAGGATAAGTTATCAGAACTTAGAGACCCACAAGGACATCCATAAATATACACTATATACATAAATGTGCCAAAATATATACAGTCAGATATAGAAAAAAGTAACAAGAGCAGAGAGCAACAATAATATATAATATTACAAATAATGTACAAATAATATATAGAATAAATATTCTAAATAGCACAAAGTCACCTTGGTGACCACATAATCGTTTTGTTTGACCTATTTTTGTTTATTTCACACAATTCAGAAAAACAAAAATGTGCATGAACTATCGGCCTGTATTTATTATATTATGAATGAAATGTGCGTTATTTGGAAGAAAGTCGAGGTGTGACCGACTTACAGTGGATCCCAGAGGTGAACTGTAACCAGAGTATTGCACATTAACCAGATTTCAGTCAGCCAACACACGTTTGAAGTGTTTATTAAAACAGTATAGCATATTTAGATTTTGGCGTCTAGGCTCCGACCTCATCACTCAGCAGATATGTTTACATAGAGATATTGGGGAGTGATGCGCAAACACCTTAACCCCAGCCGGAGCCTGCAGGTGGATGCTGGGGGGGGCTTACAGAGCAGTAGCAGCGATGTGATCTGAGGCCACAGCGGCATTGACAGCGCAGAGGGAGAGCTGGGAAATTGTGCAGTTTAGATAGAGCGCCAGAATGGAGGGGAGCGATTATTGAATAAGGCATGTCATGTGTGTATAGCAGCGCCGCTCGAGTTGACTGCCTGAACTAGCTCGCAGGCTTCGCTCCATTGTTGCACATTAACACTGAGGGAGGAGTTTGATGGTCACAGGCAGGATTCACTTCCTGCTGCGTTCTGTTTAACATCTCGGTGGATATGAAACATGAAATATGATATTTTCAGTTTTATAAATTATAAAATAAATAAACATAAAAACACAGTTGTGACGTTTGAGCTCCGTCTGGAAGATTTTCGTCCATATTTCTGCCAAACAGCTGCAGGATGAAGGCAAGAACTGAAGCAGTGGTTCCCAACCTGGGGGGCATCACGGAGAGGGGTCCATAAAATATGTCATTTAGTGAGGGGTCGTCAGTTAGATAAATGATAGAAAAGGTTTTGGGAACTACCGAACTAAAGAATCACTTGTCCAATTCACCAGAACTTTCCTGTATATATGCAAGTTTCTTTGAACTTTGAGTCTTATGTCTATAAGACTCATCTCAATGTTTGTGGTTGTGCAGATTACTGAGAGAGCGTTCGATTCCCCGATGCTGCACTGATCCGCAGAACAACGCGGTGAGTGACTGAGACTCCTGAACAGACGATGAAACTCTGGAGAGACTGAACATCGAGAGAAATGTGTGGAGAGATCTTTAGAGGGAGGCCGGCCCTGGTAGGACGTTATCCCAACAGTCTCCGATTGAAACTGTAACTGGTTGTGACGCTCAGCGAACTCTTAAAGCTTCAGCCATCATCAGAATTCTGGATCTCAAAGAACATGAATCCTCAGGTAGTCGGCTCCAGTGAGGCGGGTGGAGACTACAGAGGGTTTACAGGCAGAGGTCCGGCAGCAGTGACTCAGAGCAGCAGTGACCCAGATCTGATCCAGGTGAGTGGGTCAGCGGTGTGAACCAGATTTACTGTCAGGATATTTTTGCTCAGGTTAGCTCACACCACTCGAGGAGTCTTTCACTGCGACAAACGTCTCGTTTCTACGTTTCTTCACGAAGTCTGCTGGAGGATGATGTCAGTACCTTTAAAGGTCCAGTGTGTTCAGATGGAGGCAGGAAGTGAAAGCAGAAGGGAGGAAGTGGAGGAAGGTCCCTGCTGTGCTTGTTTAAACTGTATCAGAGAGGAAAATCATCACATCATCTTAACAAGACGGAGCCATTCTTCAACTGAACGAGTCGTTACAATCACAGCAACCAGACTCCATTCATAAAAACATAATTTCACCTCAGAACACCTCAGAGTTTCTGCTCCACCCCTGCCTCCTTCGGTTAGTTAGTCTGTTATTGTGTGACACCAGAGAGAATATAATATATAATATATAGAATATAGAATATAGAATATAATGTTTTGCTGTTCTTTGGTGAATTTCTGCAGCTGTAACAGCAGCACCAGGATCAGTTCTGATTTATGAGTTTAAAAACAAACAGATGAGCTGTCATTTGTTATTTAATATTAGCAAATATTTCAACATAATACTGTAATGTTAGATCATCCTCTTAATGTGGATTTGGTTAAAATAATCCTCAAATTTAAATACAACAGTAAACTTCACTGGAAAATAAGTTTAAACAACAAAACATAAAAATTAAAACATTAAAATTTTAACTTTATGATAACTTCAAACATCTTTATATTATAATACTAAAACTATTCTATAGAAATAAATAGTTTGTTAAAACGGATGTAAAGATGTTTGAATCGATGCATCTCGAGCTGATACGGAGGAAATCTCTCAGTAAAGTTCAAATCAGAGTGTGATCACCTCGGTTCTGGATCAATGAGATTAATGAAATCATTATTATTGTAAATGTGAGTTCAATAAAAACACCACAAACACATTCTGAAGTAAATGTTTTTAATGTCGTCAGCGGCAGTAAAACCCGGTTTACATTGAACCTCTTTTATCTGTCTGCGCTGGTCGGGGGGGAAATATTTAATAACTGATCCATTAATGAGAAAAGTTGAGTGAGAGTCACTGCTCTGTGAGACTGAGTGTTCAGACAGACAGGCAGACAGACAGGCAGACCTAGTTATGGAGCTCTTATGAAACAGCAGATGTAGGTGAGACTGATCTGAACGGCCCGTACGTCTGAGGGTGAGATTAGGACGAGTGTGTGTGTGTGTGTGTGTGTGTGTGAGGATGCTGAAGCAGCAGGATGTGAGAACCAACAAGACACAAACACACACACACACACACACACACACACACACACACACACACTATATGTTGATAAATTAAATTAGTTTATCAACAGAAACTGAATATGATAATTAATAATTAAATATTTCTCATTTATTCTGCAAAGAAAACAAAATAATTAATAATTAAACAGATTTTTAAGAAAAACATTTTTTTAAATCAACAAATAAAAAACATAAACAACGCGGTTACCATGGTAACAGCACCTGATTGATGCTGACGTCACTCAGAATAAAACGTGTTTATTTTAGATTACGGTTACGAGAACAGGTACATTTGGTTATTGTATGTTGTTGTTATTGTTTTGAGCTTGTAACCAGTTTAGTGCTGCAGATTAAACACTCAGCATCGAACTGTCATCACATAGTTTCATGAGTCAGAAATAATCTGGAATATAGTTTTTTATATTTCACTGTTTATAACAACGGGAGTTTAAGATTTATTTTTTAATTTATACACTTTCTTCTCCAGGTAACCGCACACCACTGCTCGTAATGTGATGACTTTCATTTCAGATGATAAATATTGTTTTTGAACAAAAATAAGCAAACAGACATTAAAACAACCTGAAACAGGCGGAAAGAAAACAGCTTCATTTAATACATTTAATTCATTTTCTACATTTAATCAAAGCTCAAAACAAAGTGTAAACAGTCAACGTGTGACACATTATTATTATTATTATTATTAGTAGTAGTAGTAGTAATAGTAGTAGTAATTTATAGGATAAAACCATTGGGGATAAATATTTTCTTAATTTTATTTGTTTATTGGGCAGATAAACAAAAAACAAACAACAACAGAACAGTAAACACACAAGAGTCCATCAGTGTGAGATAATTAATAGAATCAATATGATAATTAATCAAATTAATTAATGTATTTATTTACTGTAATTAATAATCAATATCAGCCTTAAAGGAAACAAACTGTATTTATTTCTCTGTATTAAGATAATAAATAAATCAACTTAAACTCATTAATATGACTAAATAAACACACACTGATCAGTTTGTTGATACATAAAGAGGATCCTCAGGTGGCCGTGGCCTACATCTGTCACTGTTCCGATCAATAGAGATGATAGAAGTGAATCCCCTGTACAGACTGCAGATGCTCCGCTCTGATTGGCTGATCCTCCAGGCCCCGCCCCCTCTCTCCCCTCCTGATGGATAAATAACGCTGCAGACGCCTCCAAGCTTCACACTGTCCGTCTGTCCCTCCTCTCTACAGGAAACTTTCCCCACTGTTTCACTGGACCTTAAAGTAGCATCAGAAAACTCTGTTTTACTGACTGAACTGAGTCAGTGAACGCACCGCGGAGGACTGTTGAAGCAGGTGTTTTTTTTGGGTCAGATTTGGAGCTGATCTGGGATCAGGTTCAGGATGGAGCTGAAGGACTTCAGTCTGACAGACGACTATCACTTCCTGAGTCCGCAGCGGTGAGGAAAACATTTCTGTTTTTATATTTAATGATTTTATTGAATTAATATCAGCTGTCATTTGCTTTATATATTTTTTTAATTTTTTAATTTTTTTTATTATTATTTTCATATATTCAATATAACATAAGATTACTGCATTTATTCAAAAAAGGAAAAAAACAAAACAACATAAAAACAATGTTTTAACAAATGGAAATCTATTCATGAAATAACAAAACAATTTTACAGCTGAAAAATAATCATTAAAATATAACATTAAACTTCACTGGAACTTTAATTAAACAACAAAACACAAATAAAAACATTAAAGATAAAATAAGTGAAGATAAAACGTTAACTTCAAACGTCTTTTGGTATTAAAGTATTAATTAAAGTAAAACTATAATATTAGTAACTTTCTCTACTGTATGACAACCAGAACTGGAAGAAATATCAGATCAGATATTTTCTCTATGTATAAGTTAATTTATATTAAGAGAAAGTGTGACAGAAACAACTAAATAATGCCATTGAGATGAGTTTTAGCAACCAGGTGTTCGACTGCAAGTGGCATTGATTGGCTGCTTTGTAACCATGACGACAAACGTAATTTAACCCAAATTAAAATGAAAAGTAACCAAATCAGACCGTCATCACATGTTATATGTTACCGGGTTCCTTTTATATTTTTTATTTTCAGGCATTTCTTTGCAATTAAACTGAAGTAAAGAGTAAAAATAGTCCTTTTTTTGTATAATTCATTAAAAACTGAAGGCAACTTGTTCCACTGAGAATATAATCACTCATAGTTAGTTATCTTGGGTTATTATAGCTTTGTATTTTTCATTAGTTTTTATATATATATTATTTACTTTCCAGGGTTTACTTGTTTCAGACATTCCATTTTATTTTTTAGTGTATTGTTTTTTTCTAAAGTCTAGTTTTTATTGTTGTTCCAGTCAACAGAAATGTTTCACACCTAGTCTTAGTTTTTAGTTTCGCTTTAATAACCTCAGTAGTTTGGTGACGTATCGCTCCATGTTTCAGAAACTACAATTATTGCTCAAATTCACAGAACAGTTGCGGTGATTCAGTAAAGTTGGAAGGTTGGATAAAGTTGGATAAAATTGGATAAAGCTGGATAGAATTGGATAAAGTTGGATAGAATTAGATAAAGTTGGATAGAACTGGATAAAGTTGGATAGAATTGGATAAAGTTGGATAAAACTGGATAAAGTTGGATAAAGTTGGATAAAATTGGATAAAGTTGGATAAAGTTGGATAAAACTGGATAAAGTTGGATAGAATTGGATAAAGTTGGATAAAACTGGATAAAGTTGGATAAAACTGGATAGAATTTGATAAAGTTGGATAAAGTTGGATAGAATTTGATAAAGTTGGATAAAGTTGGATAGAATTGGATAAAGTTGGATAGAATTAGATAAAGTTTGATAAAACTGGATAAAGTTGGATAGAATTGGATAAAGTTGGATAAAGTTGGATAAAACTGGATAAAGTTGGATAAAGTTGGATAAAACTGGATAAAGTTGGATAAAGTTGGATAAAATTGGATAAAGTTGGATAAAGTTGGATAAATCTGGATAAAGTTGGATAAAATTGGATAAAGTTGAATAAAATTGGATAAAACTGGATAAAGTTGGATAAAATTGGATAAAGTTGGATAAAATTGGATAAAGTTGAATAAAGTTGGATAAATCTGGATAAAGTTGGATAGAATTGGATAAAGTTGGATAAAGTTGGATAAAATTGGATAAAGTTGGATAAAGTCGGATAAAACTGGATAAAGTTGGATAGAATTGGATAAAGTTGGATAAAGTTGGATAAAATTGGATAAAGTTGTATAAAGTTGGATAAAATTGGATAAAGTTGGATACAACTGCAACAGAATTCTCTGTGATTGGTTACAGGATTTTTTTTGGGACGTGATCCACGGTTAGTTTAAAGGAAGTCTTTTATTGTGAAAATCATTGATCTGTAGATTGTTTATCTCTGCTGCTGATCGTTGATCTTCAGCTGTTTAATCTCACACTTTTCTTCCTCTTCAGCCTCTTGGACTCCTCCTCTTCATCCTCCTCCTCCTCCCCTGCCGATGGAGTTCGGTCTCCGGCCTCCTTCCTCCACTCCTCCCCCATCAGTCCCTCCTTCCCGCTGGACACCACAGCGGCTCTCAGCCCCTCTCATCCAGCCTTCCTCCTCCCCAGCCCGGCCTCCTCTTCCTCCTCCTCCTCCTCTTCCTCCTCCTCCCCCTCTTACAGCCTCCACTGTGGAGCGCCGGAGCCCGACTCCCCAACGGGATCTAGTTCCAGCGGAGGAAGTGTCGGAGGCGGCGCTGTGGTGTCGGAGGCTTCGGTGCGTTTTTCAGTGTCGCAGACGGGTTCGTTTTCAGCGCAGGTGAAAAACGTTTATAACATTTTATTTTATTTTATTGTGTAGAGCTGCAACAATTGATCAATTAGGCAATCAAAAGAAAGTTGATTGATTGTTTCACACACTTTTCAAGCAAAAATGGGACAAACGAAGCAATTCAAAGACACTTTGGGAAATTGCGATGAGCATTTTTTGCATTTTATAGAAGATTAATAATGAAAGTAATCAGAAGACTCATCAATAACTAAAATAACCTTTCAGTGCAGCCCCACTTTATTTATACGCCATCCTGCTGCCACAAACACTAACCAGAGCACTAAATGTGGATTCATCCGCCGCTGAAACTAGTCCCCAACAAATGCACTATTTCCTCCTGTTTGAGTAACATTTTAAAAATGAAACTTTATATTTGTGAATAGTTTTAAAAGCTTTACTTATTAAAAGTCACCGCCACTAGAAGTCGCACTAGGGCACCAAACAACTGTTGACCAGACTCCATTAACAAAACCAGTAATTTTACCTTGTAGATAATTGTAACGCACTGTTTCCCGTCTGCAGGTGGACTCCATCCTGAGGGGCGACTACCTGACACCGATGGGTGCTGTGGGGCCGAAGAGGCTCTGCTTGGTGTGCGGGGACTTCGCCTCCGGGTATCACTACGGGGTGGCGTCCTGCGAGGCCTGCAAGGCGTTCTTCAAGAGGACCATACAAGGTGAGAACGACTGCATGTGCATTAATCAATAAGTAAATTATTATAAGCAGAGCTGATCAATACAGCAGCACTCACTGCATTGATTAGCGTGTGAAGCTATGAGCTGCTGGGTTCAGACGATCCATCGAGGGATCGATCGGTGATGTCTGATCAGTTCAGTCATCACATGTAAGTATTTAAATAAGAAGTATGGAAGCAGAGAGGCCAAACGGGTTAAAGTTCATTCAAGTACTGCACTTAAGTAATATTTTCCGCTACCTTATACTCGACATATCAGACTGTCTAAAACATATTTAAAAATTGAAGTAGTGAAAGATAGATTGGATATTGTTCCCACAGTCTTAAAGTCAACTCTCGTTATGTGGTTTGATTGATTGATTGATCGACACTACAGGCAAGAACACGTTTTATTTATTTATTTGATTTATTAGTTCATTTACTGTTCAATTCGATTTGTCTTCTTTAAAACTCTGGGAAAGAAAACACCCAAAATACACATTTAGATGTTTCTTTCACTTCACTTTGCTCCATTTGCATATTTAAACAGAACATTTCAGAAAACTTACTTACTAATAAAAGTAATAAAAAAATTATTGTCTTAATGTGATTAATCAACTGTTTCATGCTGATATGTTTTCGCCACTCTCTCTCTGGATTCACTTCACCAACTGTGTTCATGTTCAACAGTGTGAGTTTCATCAGGCTCATTTAGTCTCATCAATAAACTTTAAGCCCCAGTAATAATGGGGGGGGGGGCTTCTATAGATTTCTGTGAGAAAAAACAAGATGAAGACAGACAGACGGAAACAAGTAGAGTCAAACTGAGAAGACACGTTTTCATTGTTCATGTAATGGATAGTGGATTTAATTTAATTATAAAATTATAAATCATGAAATCAAGTGTTGAAAAGTACAATGCAATAAAATACTCAAGTACAATTTCGAGGTACTTTTCCATTACTACCTTCTAGTCCAACTAAATATCTTTTAATATAAATAAATATCTGATAACTTTTATTGAGAGGCCTTCAGCGTGAGGAAGTGATGTCACTGACCATCCTGTACGTACTTCCTGTTTGTGGTTACCTAGGCAACATCGAGTACAGCTGCCCGGTGATGAACGAGTGTGAGATCACCAAGCGGAGGAGGAAAGCCTGTCAGGCCTGCCGCTTCCAGAAATGTCTCCAGGCTGGGATGATGAGGGAAGGTATGTCACCTCAATCTGACGAACTTCCCATGAGTCTTTGCTCCTTTGGAGGCCTCCTCTCTCCTCAGACCTCTACGGGGTTTTAGAGGAGGAGGGGAGGAAGCAGAAGTAGCTGACAAGAAACCCTGGTCTCTGTGTTGCAGGAGTCCGTGTGGACCGAGTGCGAGGGGGACGGCAGAAGTACAAGAGGCGGGTGGAGACCGGGCTGAGTTTATACAGTAAAACCCCGTACGCTCATCCTGTCAGCAGCAGTGAGTTCACACCTCTACTCAACATCTTCACTTCATCCAAACTTTATTATTTGATCTAATCACTGTCTGTCTTTTAGGAAACAAGGTGATCTCCCACCTGCTGCTGACTGAGCCCACGCCTCTTGCTGCCAATCAGGACGATTCGACCAATGACGGCAGCCTGCGGACCCTGCTGACCCTCTGTGACCTCCTGAACCGGGAGCTTCTGGTTCTGATCGGCTGGGCCAAACAGATTCCAGGTACAGACGCTGGTCGGGTTGTTCTCAGTCTTATTAAAGCTATAATCTCTATAGTTTCTGCCTCTAGGGCGTCTATAACATCAGAACAATAACAAAAGACAATGTTTGATGATGTGAGCCAAGCTGCTGTATTAGTAAATACTATGTTGGAAAATGGTGGTGATGCTAAACATCCTCAGCTCAATGTTCAACTCAACAATAACTTAACCAGAATTACTATTAAAATAGAAAATTAAATGAGAATTGGCTGATACATTTAAATTGTATTTTAGTTCCCAGTAATCAGAACTTTATATCTTACTTTGCCTCTGCCTTGCATTGCTGTCAGAAAGCAATTGTTAGCTTTGTATCATTACACCATTTATTGTGGGCTAAAATCAGCAGAATACATGCTATTGTTATATAGGTCAGTGCTGTAGATACAGGGCAGAGGTCAGTAATTATGACATGATTATAATGAGTTAGAGTTTATTTTGGGTTACCTCATCCTCCTTGTTAACACCTGCTCTGCCCCGCCCCCCCACAGGCTTCTCCGGCCTCTCATTGGTCGACCAGATGTCGCTGCTGCAAAGCGGCTGGATGGAAGCGCTGCTCGTGGGCGTGGCCTGGAGGTCGCAGGGCGCACCGGGAGACGAGCTTGTGTTCGCCGGGAACCTGCGGCTGGACGAGGCTCAGTGTCGAGCCACGGGATTGGCCGACCTGTACGAGGCGCTCCGTCACCTGACGGCAAAATACCAGGCGATGAACCTGAGCCCAGAGGAGGTGGTGACACTGAAGGCCATGGCGCTCGCGAACTCAGGTACAAACTTGTACTTGCTGATACTTTTACTACATGAAGCTGAGAATAATTCAGTACTTTACATTCAGGGTAAACCCTGTAGTGGGGGGTGGCAGTTACCCCTCTGTGCCCCCCTGTAGTGTAGATCTGCCCCTTGCAGCTTGAATACTGATATTGATTTACAATTAAAAGTGGGAGAGTGTTCAGGGGTGTTGGAGGGGGAGTCTGAACTTATTGATCCCAGAGGAGTCGTTATTGATATTGATCAGAGGCTGGGAGCTGAAGCATCGCAGTATTGATTCCACAAACTTCTTTTTGTTTGGAAATGCGAGTGCTGGGTCGTCGACCAACGTCATGTTACTACTGTCTGACTTCCTGTCTGTGGCCCATTGGTTCCTACTGAAGACGTAAATCCTGGGGACTTGTTTGGGACTATTTTCATCAGCGGATGAATCCTCATTTGGTGCTTTAGTGAGAGTTTGTAGTGAGGAAGAAGAGACAGCACACGATGCTAACAGCAGTGTGTTAGCGGCTGATCAATAACATCTGACTGTCAGTGTGTGATTGCTGAAGCAGTGCATGATGGGACGCTGGTTGGTGCTCCCAGCTGAAGTCTGGTCAGTCTCCCACTGTCTGAGCCTCGGATCAATAAACTGTATTGATAGACTCGGTTCTGGATCTATAAACTGTTGGCTGTCTGCTGGAGGACACACACAGCGATGACGTGTCTGTCTGAATCAATACTTCACACAATAGAAGATGATGCTCGTCTGTCTGTGTGTGCACACATTTTACTCACATTGTGGGGACATTAATGTGTTTACAGTCTCTTTGTGGGGACTCGTCTTTTAGGGACCAAATCAAAAAGTCTCACGTCTCTTAACATTTATCTAATGAAGTTAAAGTTACTTTTAGTCTTTTAAATGTGTTTCTGGGAGACATTTGTATTGATCATCCTGTAACAGCTCCCAACCAACAGACACTGATTTTCCTTCATATCCTTCGTATTCTTTTTGCCAGTATGGATGTAAAATAGGTCTTAAATTGCATTAATAATGATCTTAAAAAGTCTTAAATTTAAGTTTTACCTTAATGTAAATTCATCATCCAGTAAAAAGCTTAGATATTCTGTATGTAACCTTTTCAATACTTGGACCATTGACAGCAGACATACACAGATTACAGTATGAATTTCATTTTATTAGTTTAAGATTAATAAGAGAAGTACAAAACAGTATCGTCCACGTACAGATGAATCTGCGTACAACTCATCAGTATTTACTTCACCAGGTTTTCTTTGGACGTTGTTAGACAGTCTGTTGGGGATAAGAACAGCGGCACTGTGATGCGTCCACAGGGGGAGTAAGTGAGTGCAGAGGCTGTTTATACTGGACAGAGAAGAGTGAAGGGAGACGTGATGTAAATAATAATGGTACAAACACCCACAGGCTGACCTTGACCTTTGTTTTTATCCTCCACTTGAACGTCTCTTTGTCTCTCAGACTGCTGTAGTTCAGTCTAAACAACAGTTAGTGTGTTCAGTACCAGTGCTGACTGAGCTGTACGCTAATTATGTTTTCAAATTAAATAACAATTACTGAAATATAAATGGTCTTATTACTTTTGTCAAAAGGTGGCAGACAAACATACCCGAGTGTATCCTGTTGATTTTACGTAGAAATATACGGAAATGATAGAAATGATCAAGTATTTATAAAAACATTGTTGATTTACCAGCAGGAAATACAGAAATAACTGATAGGAATCTTCTTCTCTATAATCTATAAATCCGATATAAACAGTGGTAACAGCTCACTGAACCAGCTGCATAATCTCTGAATAATATAGAAATATTACAGATCACCTTAAAAACATAATAATATAAAACACAGTTAATAATTAGTTGTTTATCAAATTTGTTCCATATTTGACCAAAAAAAGAAAAATTCTCAGATTTGAGCGTCCTAACGTCGTCTGTCTGTCTGTCCGTCAGATGCTGACCCGGTGGACTGTCCGGACTCGGTGCAGAGGTTCCAGGACGGGCTCCACGAAGCCCTGCAGGAGTACGAGTCGTCCCGCAGGGAGCAGCACCGGGCGGGCCGGCTGCTGATGAGCCTCCCGCTGCTGCGACAGACCGCCGACCGCGCCGTGCAGGCCTTCCTGCGGCTGCACCGCCATCGCTGCGTCCCCCTCCACAAACTGCTACTGGAGATGCTCGACGCCAAGGCCTGAACTCTTCCTCACTCTGAGACCACGTCCATCATCAGGAGAGGACAGACTCTGGTTCCGAGATCATCTCAAACCAGTTTGCTTCGACAACCAAAGAACTGGTTCTAGTGCGGGTCTAGAAGCAAGAACCGCTTACAACAGGGGTCGGTGGCGCCTTGTGGCCAGCCAGCTACATATTTATTAGCCGTTTAGCAAACAGATGTTACAAACATAACATCGAGCTGTTTCAGCAAATAAACTAGCTAGATGTATTTTAGAAAATAGTTTATTTTAAAGCTAGTTGGTCAGCTAACATAACCTTGGTACAAAGCTAATGTTGGATGTATACTTTAATGGGTATCTAGCCTGTGGAAAGCAACCGGTGCATCTTCCCAACCCTTCAAAATTTGGTTTATGAGACAGAGCCATCATCTCAAAGAAACTAACTCTGGGTTCCTGAAACCTGGAGACCCTTAAATCCACATATGATTAAGCCGATAAATGCCTACTTTGGTATTACTGTTGCTGGTAGGCTAGTTAGCAGCCCATTTTTTTTTACCAACAGCCGTGAAACTTCACTTGTCTTTTTTTTTTGGAGGCGCTTATAAAAAAAAAACAAAACGAACTCTAAAGCTTCACTGGACTGCCGTTGGACAATCGCTGTTTGGGGGCGGGGTTTAGAGAACAGTCAGTTAAATCTGATTTTAAATGATGTAAAAAAAAAATCTTCATCTGAACCTGGAAAGATTCATTAAGTGTATATTTGTGATCTATTTTTGTAAACAAAGATATTTTTGTGTGTTTACCTTGACAATGAGCTGGTTACCGTAGCAACAGCCACACAGGAGGACCATGGACGACTGTGACGGACTCGGACCGATGTTTTTTTTTTATTTTGTTGTTGAGACGATTTCTAACAGAGCTGATTATTTATTGGCTGCTGATTAGTTTTAATGTGCCGACTTAATTAAAATGCTTTTGGAATAAAAACATAATTCAATGAGTCAATTATTTTATTTTTTCATACAAAGATTGTTAAAAAATCTGTTACACAAACAATGTGAAAGAAATATTAAAAAAAACCTCCTCAGTGCCGACCTGAGTTCAGCCATAACAACAGTTTCTACATTCACTACGAGCTGTTTACATAAAACTGGATTTAACAATAAAGTTAAAACATTTGTAAAAACAAACAAACAGGAAAAGTTCAGAGCCGCAATGCTGCATTCACAGGTCATAGGAAACATGGACATTCAATGAGAGAAACGTTATATTTTAATTACAAGAGAAAAATTCTGAAATGTAATAAAAATTAACAATTACATTATTAATTGTTCTCAAGATAGTTTTTTATTTATCAATCGAATCTATAAAATGTTTTAAAATAGTGAAACTAAAGATGCTTTTAGAGCTGCAACTAAATATTTCTTTACCAAATTAATTAATCAATGGTTTATTTTATTAAATGTCCCAAAACAAATAAATATATTCTGTTTAAAATTATATAAATCAGAGAAAAGCATCAAACAATCAACTGTTTTTTGATATTTAAATAAATAAATAACAATTCATTCAAGTTGATAATTCATTAATCGTTAATCAATTCTGGTGAAAAAGGTCCAATCAGCAGTTTTATAGGATATAAATAATAAAGTGTTATTTAAATACATTTCCACTAAACAAATTAAAACATTTCATAGTTTTTTTTCTTGGTTTAATTTTTCACACAATTTATAATTATTTAATCCATTAAGTCTTTTTTATTTAATAATTTAATATCAAACACTGTTTTGATATTAAAATACTAAAATAATATTTTTTTTCAGCTTCTCTGTTTTATATCAAAGTAAAATTAATTTCTTTGTGTTTTTTGTACTTTTATAAAGTAAATAACAGTCGGATTAATCAATAATGAAACTACTATTAGCTGCGGCCCTGAAATAAAAATAACTCTTTAGTTTCTGTCTGTTTTTATTTCAGTAGAATAAGAAATGCTGATTTGCGGCTCCGAACGTTCACAGACATTAAAAACACAAACTGAAGGTTTTGAAATACAAAGAAAACGTGAATTATTTCCTCACAGCAACGAGACAACAGCAGGAGGCTCCAGTGGTCGACGTCACATAAATAAAACCCACAGTGAACTCACAGGAAGTTCAGGGGGACGACAGGAAGTACATCAAAATAAAGCAGGAAGTTGCTGTAAAAGCTTCCTGTAACATCAACGCTTCATTTTATTGATCCGTAATTTCTTATTAATTTCCCAATAATTACCTCAGAAGTTTCCTGGAAAGAACGAGTATCTGATTAATAATCGTTTCAGCATATTAAAAAGGTAGAAAGTATTTATATATTTTTTATTATTATTAATTATTATTATTATTATTATTATAATAATATCACATTTATTTCAGCACTTTCCTGCTAAATGTAAGAATAATCTATAGTATTATAAATTAAATTAATGCCACCTGAACCAGATAAATAAGATATTTTACTTAAATGTTACAATAAAACTGTATAAATACTAAAAAGATTTTACTTAAAAGTACAAAAGTATAAGAAAATATACTTAAAGTACTAAAAATAGCCATTATGCAGATGAATGTAAATATTATTGGATTATAATTATTGATGCATTAATGTGTTGATCACCTTTAACTGCTGGGTAAATTGTATAATTACAACCAGTCAGATAAACGTAGTAAAATGTTTCTGTCTAGAAGCAGAAAATGGAAATATTAAAATACGTATCTATTAATTGCATAGATCTTAAAGTCAGACAATTACACAAATATATAAAGTTAAAGTTTTCAATAATAAAACTTATATTTACTCTGTAATTAGTTCCATAAAACAAACTTCTTTCCAGGTAATTATTAGTAAATTAAACTGTTCCTGAAGGTTCAGGTTGTTTTTTTTTTTACTTTAATTTGAAAGCGTTGATGGAAAGAACAAAAGCTGACACCTGATTGGCTGCGGCGGTGAGACGTTCAGGCTCGGCTCGTTCATCACAGTGTGAACTTACAGCCAGAATTCAAACATACAAATTATAAAAATAAAGTTTCCATACAAACTGCTTCAGGTAGAAAAGATTCACCTGCTAACAGGAACTCGAACGTTTCTTCTCTGTCGGTTATAAACTGAACATCTGGATCTAAGCCCCGCCCCCTTTCCTTCACTTAGATATGCTATATGCTAAGCTAATCTATGTTGAAAAGAAAACCACATTAAGAAGACGATTAAAAGAGACTTTATATATTTTATATGTTTAGTGTTTGAACTTTAGATAATATAAATAGTACGTCGACTTTATCGTAGCTAGTCAGCTAACCTAAGCCGTGACTATAATATGTTACTTTTATTATAACTAGTGAGTTACTAACTAACTAACTAACGAGCTTACATAAATCTTTAGTTAGTTAATTAACTAACTTACCATCTTCACAATGTGGTAGTCTTTACAACATTAGCGTAGCACGGTGGTACGATACCGATGTCGGAGCGTCGCTGTTTTAGCTACAAAGAGGCTAAAAGTATTTTGCTAAACTCCGCCCACCTCAGTTACCGTGACAGTTTCCGTGGCGACAAACAGATCTGAGATCTTGGACCCGTTGTTTCGTTGTAAACAGAGAGACTGACGGGTAGCAACGGTAACTAAGGGGGGCGGGGCTTAGCGGATGGTCGAGCTACGAGTGAGTCATTGGATTCATTGATAATGCAGAAATATTGATCAGTGCAGATTTAATAAAGCAGCTGTTTGAGGTTAGTCCGCCGCCGCCAGGAAGCAGCCAGCACGCGGTAACTATGGCGACAGAACTCTACCGACTGCTGATTGGCTTCCTTCTGAATGTCTGAGCAGCCAATCAGAAGCTGGTTTCGTTCATGTGTGGTTTGGGGCTGGTGGACGGGCCGGCGGCGGCGGCGGCGGCGGCGGCGGCGGCGGCACTGTCAGGACTCGCTGGGCTCTCGGGGGAAGCTGAGTCATCAGCAGGAGACGCTGTGGCACTGCGGCGAGGCGAGACGGGCGCCTGAGATCGTGTCGGGCTCACGGCTGGGGCCGGAGAAGGGGCGGGGCTTGTCGGAGAGGTGGGCGTGGCCCTGCGGTGTGACGAGGATAATGGCGATGAGGACAGCGATGAAGGTGTTCCCGGGGAATGGCGTGCACCGGGCGACACAGAGAAGGTGGTCGGGGTCCTGAGACCGAATCTGGCCTCTAGCTCGCTGCACACCGCCAAGCTCCGCCTGACGCCCTCCGACCCCGCCGGGACCCCGAACCCTGAGCCCGCTGCTGCCTCCGAACCCTTAGCGAGCTCCTGGCAGCGCTCCACGAAGCTCCCCCTGCGGACCGACCCCCACTCTCGCTCCAGGTGTCTGGCGGGCCGGGGGCTGGCGGTCTGGTTGGAGCTGGAGTTGTGGCCGTAGGCGGGGATGGCGAGGGACTGCGGCCCGGCTGAGAGGCCAGAGTCTCTGATAGGTTTGGTGAGGGGCACGGGGGGCGGAGCCTGCCGGGGGAGGCTGCCGCACAGCGAGGCGGACGAACCGGAAGCTCCGGCTGGTCCTCGCCCTCCTCCCGCAGAGTGGAGGCGCTCGGTCCTGAAGGCGTCACTGAGCTGAGAGTGGAGACTGGACGGACAGGAAGTCACAGGATTAACAACAACAACAACAACAACAACAACAACAGCAGCTGCGGAGAACTGACGGAGACTCGTATATAACGTGTGTGTACCTGCAGGTCGAGGCTCGTGGCGTGCTGTCAGGTGTTCGGGTCAGCGCCAGGTCACACTGGTCCAACAGCTCCAGCAGCTCCTCCTCCGTCGGCCCGCCCAGTGCTGAGAAACAACCAATGAGAGCTCACGTCACTCTCTGACCAATCACAGAGCCGGTCACCTCTGCGCTGACGTCAGTGAACAATAAAGTTGTGTGTGTTTTGAAGAGTCTGACCTCTGATGTCGACCTTGCCGGCGATGTCCATGGCGGTCGTCAGGTCCCACATCTGGATGCTGCCGTTGCTATGGCCGCTGAACAGGTAGCGACGGGGCCGAGAGCCGATGCGACTCGAGCCCTCGCACTCGTGGACCATGAAGGCCGTGATGGAGGTACCGTCCACCGAACGCACCTCGCACACCCTGACACACACACACAGATGTTTGTCACCAGACTCCCTTTAAAAATCACACATTTTAAGAGTTGCTGATTGAGGAGAAACTTTCTAAACTTTGTGAAACTCTGTCTACGGCAAATTCTTAATTAGTTTATCCGTCTCGTAAACTCGGCTAACATTATTTGTGTCACCTCAGCTGTTCAGCTCATTTTCAGTAAGTTTCTTATCAAACAAAAGATGACGAGACTGCTGTTAGTTATTTTACTTATCTACTGAGATTCTGTAAAGGGATTTAAATGTGATGAAACGCTGTTGAATCCTCGGTGAGACGGAGACACTGAACACATCGTCCCTTTAACGGCTCCCTCACCTCTTCCCGTTGGACGACAGCCTCACGTAGAGTTTGTCGGTGTCCGGTACGACTCTCTGGATGAACACCTGCTGGTCGTCTCTCTCTCCGTACGGACCTGGAACCAGAACCTCACGGTTACCATCTGACCCTGTGACCTTTGACCCCTCTCTGACCTCCCACCCTCACTCTGACACACACACACACAGTCCCAGAGGAGCAGATTATTTCTGTCTCACTGGCTCCCTCCGGTGGTTGAAGTCTGAACTGATTAATGGACTGAAGTATTTGTGACTAATAAACCGACTATAATCAATACAGAGAAAAATCAATCAAAGATATTCCTTTAAATTCACATTAAGTACTTTTAAGGTACTTTAACCAAACAGTTTTTATAGTTTTTACTATAAATTGTGAAAAATAAAGTTCCTTGTTAACGTAAATTTTTATCGTGTGTGTTGATCAAAGGAGGATTTATCGACTATAATGATTTTATAATGAAATGTCATATTTTATGATGAAAACTGAGCACTTTTTAAGGATTATATTTGAATTTAAGTATATTTATAACCCTTAAAAACATAAAAATAAGCATTTTCCAAACTTTAAAGACTTAAAACGCTGTAAAAATGATATTTTAACTCTCCATCAATCTGCAGTCTTAAAGAACAAACTCTTATCTGGAACTTTTAGCACAACTGAGGACGATACCTGAGACAAGGTGTTGACCTTTAACCCCTGTGTGTGTGTGTGTGTTTTTTTGTGTGTGTGTGTGTGTGTGTGTGTGTGTGTGTTACCGATCTCCGTGCCGGCGCTGCAGCCTCCGTGTCCGTCGACGTCGTCCAGGCTGAGGATCTTGAAGGAGGTGAGCGGCGTGGATCCCGGCTGCGTGGAGATCATCCCTCTGAACCGGGTCACGGTCCACGTCCGGACATGGTTGTTGTCGGCGCAGACTGACGGACAGACGGACAGAACGTGAGCGGACTGACGCGGAGGGGAACGCGTGGCGTGACGCGACCTCTCGGACTCCTACCTGAGATCAGGTGTTTCTCCGACAGCATGATCTTGGTGACGGGGCTGCGGTGGACCGAGAAGGTCTGGAAGAGCTGCGGCCCCGAGCCCACCGTCTCCGGGTGCTGGACGATGACTCGGACCGTCCCGGAGCTGGTCCCGTACGCGATCTCGATCCAGTTCCCGCTGTCACCTGATCACATGACCGACACCTTTCAGTCTCAGGTAAACACTGAGTGCATCGCGTGGTCACACTGAGTTCTACAGGATTTATCTCGTACAGGATTAACGGGTCTTTTTCTATCACAGAAACATTTTAAACAAACATTTAAAATAGAAGATCCTAAATTGACATACGAAGAGAGACGGACATTTTAGAGTGTAAATGAAGTGTCTGGTGGACAAAGACAAACTGTTTCTACCTTTCTGTATATTTAAGCGCCGTCCCAACCAACAACAACAACAACAACTATAAAATATATTGTGTTAATAATCCCACTCCAGTGGATCCCTACTGGTTTTGGGAGTGAGGTAGACGCTGAGGGCAGTGATGGCGTCTTCAGTCGGGTCTCTGTAGAGCTCCGTCACCAGCAGGTCGTTATCCTTCATCCTCAGAGGAAACTTCTGCACATCTGACAAACAAACAAACAAACAAACAAACAACCAAACAAACAACAGGGACATTAACTTTTATTGCACTGAATTTATCTGACGGCATTACAAACACGAACATAAGAAGAGTTAATAATATATTGTTATGAATAAACTACCCAACAGTTTATACGAGGACATTAATCAATCAGTCTATTGACAGAATACCAATGCTTGAAGTCATTGATTGACTGGAATCAATTTAATTTGTAATCATTTTGAGGTTTATCAGTTTCACTTTACTATGAGCTAAGGTAGCGTAGCCACGATCAACCAAACTCCATTCAGAAAACAAACACTTTAAGAGTTGTTCCTGATGTGTGTGTGTGAGAGACTCACCTATATAGTAGATGGATCCGTTGTTGCAGCCCAGGATGAGGAAGGAGCCGGCGGTGTCGTAGCTGCTGATGGGAACCACGTCCTGGTTCTGACCCGAGAACACAGAGAACCTCGAGTATTACATCGGTAGCAGAGGGGGAGGAGTCTGCCGCACACACACACACACACACATTTACAGTCTCCACCCACCTGCCAGTGTTTGGTGACGGCGTTCCAAACCCCGACCTTCCCGGTGTGGCTGGTGGCGATCAGCTGGTTACCAACGAAGAAGAGCGCCTCCACCGGCACGTTGAGACTGAAGACGCCTGCGAGAGGAAACGTGTTACAGACAAACAGTCCGCGGCCCAGAGCCGATCGTCACCAAGGGAACACTCACCGATCTCGTTCCCGTTGCCGTCGGGGCAGATGGCCCAAAGGATGATCTCCGTCACCGAGGCAACGGCCACCATCTTGTCGTTGTCTCCCAGCGAGCCCGCCATCACCTTGGCGTTGAGAGCGACTCTGTCGATCACCCAGTCCAGACGGGGAGAGGTGAAGACCTGCTGCCACCCAGTGGACTCCTTCACCCTGAGAGAGAGACAGGCAGAGAGAGAGAGACAGAGAGAGAGAGAGAGAGGCAGAGAGAGAGAGACTAATTAAGACTTATATATGGACAAAAGTATTTGACCACACCTGTTAATTTTTGAATTCAGGTGTTTCAATCAGACCCACAGGTGTATAAAGTAGTGATTAGTGATTTGTTTCCAAGGATACCACCTTTACAATAAGAGTTTGGGCCCTTACAGCCCAGTGAAGCTCTGTTAATGCTTCAGCATACCAACACACTTTGGACAATGTTCCTTCCAACTTTGTGGCAACAGTTTGGGGAAGGAACTCCCGCACGGAGACCTAACCTCCACCCCATCCAGCACCTTTGTGAGAGTGTGAGCCTCATAAATGTTCTACAGAACGAACGGACCCAAACTCCCACAGACACACTCCGAGCTCCAAAAGGGAGGATCAACTCCTTATTAAAGTATGTACTTAAATATAATGTCATTACAGTCCCTGTTGGTATTATGGTTCTTTTGTCCATATAGTGTATATTTATATATTAACACAGTCTCTGTGTAAGGTCCTGATGTGTTTACCTGTAGCAGACGACAAACTGTGCGTAGGCCACAGCGATCCAGTTGTGATGACCACAGATGATCCGAACCATGCCGGGGTCCGACACCTGACCTGCACACACACACACACACACACACACACACACACACACACACTATAATCCCCTGTATTGGTCCTGATGTTCTACCGTCCACAGACTGAGTGTTTTACCTCCAGGCGTCCTCTCCTCGGCGATGGCTCTGCCGAGTATCCCAGAATTCCCCAGGTTTGGGGGCATGGTGTTGCTGCGTCTGACCGGCGCTCTCTCCGCGGGCAGGGCTCGGCCCGCCATGAACTGCGACCCCGCCACGCTGTGACGGTTGCGGCGCTTCGCCGGATACACTGGGACGACACAGACAGGAAGTGAGGTCATTTAAAGGATTAGTGGATTTATAGTTTGTGAAGGTTTAATTTAAGACTATTAATCCAATTAAAGACGTATTTTACATCCAGTAGAGCACGAAGAATTCCAGTTCTGTAGTTATAACAACCTGATCAACACAAATTTATCCCAACATTAAAAAGAGGCTGAGAAACAAAAGGAACCTTAACTTCATTAAACTCATGTTTTAGACCTGTCAAACTCAGATTTGACAGTTTATAGGCTGAAAGTTCAGATTATTGAGACTTTTTAAGTGGACATCCTGTAAAAGCAGCTCCTGATTGGTCAGGAGAGCGGCGGTGTACCTGGTGGAGGCAGGTAGCCGTTGAACAGCACGTTCCCACAGGAAGATCGGTCGAGCTCGTCACACAGCTGCAGCTTCCGCACTGTCAACAAACACTTCTGTTAGATAATGCGACAGGAAACAACAGCAACCACTGAGGAACTGACGGTGAAACATTTAAACTCTGATATTTTAAAGAGGTTTTAGAACATTAATGAGGTTTAATTGATCTCACAGACTGATAACGAGGATAAATCTGGTTTTATTTCATCACGTCGGCGTGCGTCTCACCGAGCGGCGTGATGCCGTAGAACTCGGCCTCGTGCATGAGCATGTGCACGTTGATGGAGCGGGGGTGCAGCTCTTTGGTCCGCAGGAAGTTGAGGATGGTGGCGAACAGGGAGGGGTCCCTGTCGATGAAGATCTACGGCGAGAGAGGAGGTTATTACCGCGCGCGCACACACACACACACACACACACACACACACACACACACACACACACACACACACACACAGGTGAACTTACGGCTCCAGTTTCATCCTTCAGAGTCGAGATCCGACCGCTCAAAAGACTGAAAACACAAACCATCAGCTGTCAGTGATACAAACAACAACAACAACAACAACAACAACAACAACAACAACAACAACAGGGTGTTTACTACAGGATGTCCCTTTCTTACCAAACTCCAGTTAAACATCGTTCGAGTTTAGTGTTTCCTTGTTTATGATTTTATTCAAACAGATTATTGATCAATATTCAACATTTTATTGATTATCAGCAGGGTTATTGATAATCTGATTGTACCTCTTTAAGTACCATAAAGTGAGTACAAACATATACAGTGCAGTAAAACGCTCCAACACAAAGTTTAAAGTTAGTATAAAAACTACAAGTAAATAAACTTACACTCCACACATTGCTTATTGGTTTCCTTGGTTACTAATAATCAGGATCAATATGCTTTTAATTCACTGTAGTCAAGGTAACATCAATTAACAAATGTCTGTTTATTTCCTCACTGACCTGGAGAAGAAGGAGTCAGGAACCCACGTCAGCGTCTGTCGGGAGGTGCTGAACCTGTAAACAAACAAACAAACAAATAAACAATAAACAACAAATAAAAAGAACATGAGCCACAGTCAGAATATTAACCAACACTAGTCAACGTTAGTTAACAATAACAAAGTGTGGGACTGAAGAAAATCAACACACGATTGTCAGATTTAGGTAGAAAATGAGTAAAAGTGGAGTTTATTATTTACAGAGATAATAAAGTATTAACTCCTCCGTCGTACTCTGGGATTTAAACCCATTAAACTAAACTCATTAAACTATGAACCCTGTGATTTAAACCCATTAAACTATGATTTAAACTCATTAAACTATGATTTAAACCCAATAAACTATGATTTAAACTCATTAAACTATGATTTAAACTCATTAAACTATGATTAAAACCCATTAAACTATGATTTAAACCCATTAAACTAAACTCATTAAACTATGATTTAAACTCATTAAACTATGATTTAAACCCATTAAACTATGTAAACCATTAAATGTGATTTACACTCATTAAACTATGATTTAACCCATTAAATAAACTGATTAAACTATGATTTAAACCCATTAAACTATGATTTAAACCCATTAAACTATGATTTAAACCCATTAAACTATGAACCTTGTGATTTAAACCCATTAAACTATGATTTAAACCCATTAAACTATGATTTAAACCCATTAAACTATGATTTAAACCCATTAAACTATGATTTAAACCCATTAAACTATGATTTAAACTCATTAAACTATGATTTAAACCCATTAAACTATGATTTAAACCCATTAAACTATGATTTAAACCCATTAAACTATGAACCTTGTGGGACACAGATGATAACAAACGCCCCTTTATTAGCCTCCGGTAGCTAGCCGGGGTTAGCCGCCACTCCTCACCGCTTCCCTCCGACGTTCAGGTGGATGATGTCTCCGCTCCTCGCCGTGGTAGACATCCTCTGAACGGTTAGCTCACTGCTAACAGTCTGCACCTTCGGAACAACCGCTGAACTTTTATATTTTAATCCATTTCTGGGGATAAAATCAGTTTCCGTTGTTGCCTAAAAGCCAACTTCCTGTCGAGCAGTGAGGCGGAGGGCGGGAGGTAAAACCCGCGGAGGATCGCTGGATCACCGGATCAGAGACAAAGACCGGACCGGAGTCTGCGACCGGAACATGGAGCCAGTAACTCTTTATAACGAGAAAAACTCAAAATATTCACTTATTGTCTCAAAATAATGAGACATTTTAATATTTATTGACTTAATATCTCAAAATAATGAGACATTTTAATATTTATTGACTTAATATCTTAAAATAATGAGACATTTTAATATTTATTGACTTAATATCTTAAAATAATGAGACATTTTAATATTTATTGACTTAATATCTTAAAATAATGAGACATTTTAATATTTATTGACTTAATATCTCAAAATAATGAGACATTTTAATATTTATTGACTTAATATCTTAAAATAATGAGACATTTTAATATTTATTGACTTAATATCTTAAAATAATGAGACATTTTAATATTTATTGACTTAATATCTTAAAATAATGAGACATTTTAATATTTATTGACTTATTGTCTCAAAATAATGAGACATTTTAATATTTATTGACTTATTGTTAAATAATGAGACATTTTAATTTTTATTGTCTTAATATCTTAAAATAATGAGACATTTTAATATTTATTGACTTATTGTCTCAAAATAATGAGACATTTTAATATTTATTGACTTAATATCTCAAAATAATGAGACATTTTAATCTTTATTGACTTATTGTCTCAAAATAATGAGACATTTTAATATTTATTGACTTAATATCTCAAAATAATGAGACATTTTAATATTTATTGACTTATTGTCTCAAAATAATGAGACATTTTAATATTTATTGACTTAATATCTTAAAATAATGAGACATTTTAATATTTATTGACTTAATATCTCAAAATAATGAGACATTTTAATATTTATTGGCTTAATATCTCAAAATAATGAGACATTTTAATATTTATTGACTTATTATCTCAAAATAATGAGACATTTTAATATTTATTGACTTATTATCTCAAAATAATGAGACATTTTAATATTTATTGACTTAATATCTTAAAATAATGAGACATTTTAATATTTATTGACCTAATATCTCAAAATAATGAGACATTTTAATATTTATTGGCTTAATATCTCAAAATAATGAGACATTTTAATATTTATTGACTTATTATCTCAAAATAATGAGACATTTTAATATTTATTGACTTAATATCTTAAAATAATGAGACATTTTAATATTTATTGACTTAATATCTCAAAATAATGAGACATTTTAATATTTATTGGCTTAATATCTCAAAATAATGAGACATTTTAATATTTATTGACTTAATATCTTAAAATAATGAGACATTTTAATATTTATTGACTTATTATCTCAAAATAATTTTAATATTTTTTTAAAATATTTATTGACTTAATATCTCAAAATATAGAAAGTTATTTATAACTCATTATTTTGCGATGCTAAATAAATATTTTAAGAAAGTTTCTTTTTATAAATACTCACAGAATCATTTTTAAGCTTCATATTTATTAAAATAAGCCTCGCTAGAATGTTTAAAAGCAAATATATTTAGTAACTTCAGTGTCTTTTATGTAGTTTTCCTACCAATTTCTATTCAATTATGTTTGTGTACTTTAATTATTTGTTTATTCTGCCCCAGTGTGACACATTTTTCCATCGTTTGCATTGATTATGGATCGGGATTCACCAGGTACTGAGTGCTGATATCAGAACAGTTCTAACAATGACTTTAATAACATTAACTTAAAGTTTCTCATATCACAAAACACTAAGAAAACAGCTTTTTAATTTCCTAAAAGAAAAGAAAAGCACACTTCTAAATTTTTTCAAACACATTTTATTTAATTTAAACACTTAAAAGTAAACGTTAATCAGTGTATTGTTCTGGTAGGTAAACATGTTTTTAATATAATGAAGCTTATTTTCAGTATATATAAAAATAAACCAACAACAGACAACTTCAGTGTAAAACAATGAACATTAAAACGATTACGTATACCTTCAGGAAGTAAACAGGAGTATCACAGTGACATCATTTTATCCACCAATCAACAGGTGAAAGGTAGAATTACCTGTTGATGTCACATTGTTGTGACAAACCCTGAGTTGTTTATATTTATTCACAGTGCTGTTTGTCTGTCTGTCCTTTTATTATATATATTTATCTATATATTATATATTTAAACATACAAGCGTCTCTACAGCTAGTGAACCCTGCCTTTTGTTCATCTGTACAGCTCAGGTTAAAGGTTAACGAAGGCACTGGACACGTTAAAATGTTGACCTGACGATAGATTAAAGTCAGTTCATCCTGATGTTCATGTTCCTAAAGGGAAAGTCACGACATTCAGTCGGACTCGTTGTCTGGGGAACTTGAACCTTGGTACAAACTTTCACCTCAATCCGTTCTTCTAACCTTCCTAAGCTCCGCCCCTTTTTGCCCTGTGCTCCAATCACAGTTGAGCTGATGTGTTACCATCTTCAAAATGTGGTTGTCTTTTCAACATAGATTGATGGCTGGTTTCTGAAAGCCGTCACCACAGCTGTGTTTCTTGAGCTGCCTGGAGTCGGAGAAGCCCCGGCCGCAGCGCCCGCAGGAGTACAGCTTCACCCCGGTGTGGATCTGCATGTGCGACTTCAGCTGGTTGGACTGGCTGAACCTGCTGCTGCAGACCCGGCACTCGTACGGCCGCTCTCCTCTGTGGAGTTTGGCGTGTCGGTAGAAGTTGTTGCGCGTCCTGAAAGCTTTGCCGCACTGTTCGCACGTGTACCTCTTCTCTCCGGTGTGCAGCGTCATGTGGTCCTTCAGACGGCTCAGCTGCGGGAACCTCTTCCCGCACACGGCGCAGCTGGTGAGCCTCTCCTCGCCGTGCCGCCGCATGTGGTAGACAAACGTACATTTACGGTGGAAAGACTTCCCGCAGGTAGCGCAGATGAATTTGTTTTCCTCTGCGTGGATTCCTTCGTGAACTCTCAAGGTGTCAGCGCTAGAAAACGCTTTCTGACAGACGGCACAGCGGAAGGATTCGAGGTTCGTCTGCGCCACCTCTCGGTCCCGGTGCGCCACCTGTTGGTGCTCCAGCAGCTTCGAGTTGTAGAAAAACGTCTTCCCGCAGAGGTCACACATAAACGGTTTCTCTGCACCGTGAACAAGCATGTGGGTCTTGAACGCACACGTTCCCGAGAACTCCTCCCCGCACTCCTCGCACCTGAACGGCTTCTCACCCGTGTGCACGCGGAGGTGTCTCCGGAGGTTGTTCTTCAGACCGAATCTGATCCCGCAGGTCTGGCAGACGAAGGGTTTTTCCCCCGTGTGGACGATCCGGTGCTGCACCAGCGCTCGCTTCAGCTTGAACGTCTTACCGCAGTCGGAGCATTCGAACGGCCGCTCCTCTGAGTGCACCTTCTTGTGAGAGAACAGGTGAGCAGAAGTCCTGAAACTCTTCCCGCAGGAGGAGCAGGTAAAAGGTTTTTCTCCGGTGTGAATGGACTGGTGCTCCTGCAGGACGCTCTTGGCGGTGAATCCTTTACCGCAGGTGTCGCAGACGAACGGGCGGACACCGGAGTGGACGGCCTCGTGACGTTTCAGCAGGTGCATCTTACCGAACGACTTCTCGCAAACGGAGCACTTGAAGATCTTCTGCTCTTCGTGGTGCAACAGGTGAGCTTCCAGTTTCTTCTGGAGTCTGAACTGTTTGTCACACCGGCTACAAGGCCACATTTTCTGACTGTTTTCTCTCGCTAGTTTCACTTTGTGGGCCTGGAGGTGAGTTTGGAAGCTCTTCTCCTTGTGGAAGCGTTTGTCGCACTGATCGCAGGCGAACGGTTGCTCATGACGACTCATGTGCTGCTTCAGCTGATGTCGGTAGTGGAAGCCTTTGTTACATTTGTCACAAAAGATTCGCTTCTGTTGATGCTTCTCCTTTTTCCTATTGTTTGTCTCCTGGTTGTTACTCTTCCCAAAGCCTGAGGTGAGAAAAAAGAGCAACATTAGCTTTGTATGTTGTGTCGAAAGAGAAGATCACACTTTCTGTCTTTAATCTGGAGTCTTAAAGTTGTTGTGGTTTTCTGCAACGGGATCCTGATCAGCAAGCCTCAGTAATCAATACTCTCATTATCAAAGCATTAATCACACTAATACTAATACTCATAAACCTGATCATCCATAAAGATACAGTGTATTCTGATCAATATCGTCCATAAAGATACAGTGTATACTGAAATATATAAAGATATATCAATATCATCCATAAAGATACAGTGTACTGTATAACTTAAAGATACAGTGTGTACTTAAAAAATATTATAAAAAAAATATTGATCAATATCATCCATAAAGATACAGTGTACACTGATCAATATCATCCATAAAGATACAGTGTATACTGATCAATAATCAATAAACAATCAGTCTGAAATCACCTGCTGATTTTCCTCCAACATCTTCAGGTTTGTCTTCACTGAGTTTCGTCGCCGTTTCCTGTAAAAAAAACGAGATTTTTTATTAACAAAATCCCCAAAAGTTAAACGTTACCATGGCGATGTAAACTTTACTACCTGAGGTTGAGAGTCGACTCCTGATGATGGTCTGTTTCGCTCCGCGGTCGAGGTCGGTGGGTCGCCTGCAGCTCCTCCCGCCGCCTCCGGGGGCGTCTGGAGACCCTGACTGTCAGGTTGCACAGACTGCAGGGGGTTCTGGGAAGTCTGCGTGACGGTCGGAGAGCGGCGGTCGGGCAGCGGCTGACTCGTCACCACCAGAGGCGCCGAGGGCTGAGCGGAGGTCAGACCTGTGGCCACTGCAGAGCTCAAGATGGCTGCAGAGAGAGCGGCGGGGTCCGCCACCGTCTGACTGGTGTACAGAGACACAGCAGGACTCCCTGTGGTCGCCATGGAAACAGAAAGTTATACAATAATATAATTAGACCTCAATGTAAAGTAAACTCTAAATAGTTTAAAGTTTCTGTAACAGTAAAACACTTTAATATCTGCTGGTGAAACTTTTATTTATACGACATTTTAAAGGAATTTAAAACTACAGTCACAGCATCATAAGATAAAACTGTTTATTTATAAGGTAAAACTGTTTATTTATAAGATAAAACTGTTTATTTATAAGATAAAACTGTTTATTTATAAGGTAAAACTGTTTATTTATAAGATAAAACTGTTTATTTATAAGGTAAAACTGTTTATTTATAAGATAAAACTGTTTATTTATAAGATAAAACTGTTTATTTATAAAATAAAACTGTTTATTTATAAGATAAAACTGATTATACGGTAAAACTGTTTATTAATATGGTAAAACTGATGATAAACTAAGATAAAATATGCATGAAAACACAACAGTATTAATATCTTTTTACTGTAATAGTAATAATATTGTAATAATATAATATATGTATTTATATGTAATAAGTAATTTTTACTAAATTAAATAATGGAGGTTTTTAGCTTTAATTTAACATAAAATCTATGTGTAATTTTTTTCTCTTTTTTCTTTTTTAATGTTTAATTAAAGATATTAACATGTAAAAACAATTAAATATATTCATATATTATATTCATTTATTATTATTATTTATATATAATAATAAATAATAATAATAAAGTAATATTAATAAAGTAATTATAATAAAGTACTAATAAAGTTATAATAATAATAAAGATATAATAATAAAGTAATAATAAAGTGATAATAAAGTGATAATAATAAAGTAATAATATTAATAAATTAATAATAATAATAATGTAATAATAAAGTTATAATAACAATAAAGTAATAATAAAGTAATAATAAAGCGATAATAATAATAAAGTGATAATATTAATAAAGTAATAATATTAATAAAGTGATAATAATAATAAAGTGATAATAAAGTAATAATAAAGATATAGTAATAAAGATATAATAATAATAAAGATATAATAATAATAAGAGATAATAATAATAAAGTGATAATAATAATAAAGATATAGTAATAAAGTGATAATAATAATAAAGATATAATAATAAAGTGATAATAAAGTAATAATAAAGATATAGTAATAAAGTGATAATAAAGATATAGTAATAAAGTAATAATAAAGTGATAATAATAATAATAAAGATATAGTAATAAAGTGATAATAAAGTGATAATAATAATAAAGATATAGTAATAAAGTATAATAATAAGTAATAATAAAGTGATAATAAAGTGATAATAATAATAAAGATATAGTAATAAAGTGATAATAAAGTGATAATAATAATAAAGATATAGTAATAAAGTGATAATAAAGTGATAATAATAATAAAGATATAGTAATAAAGTGATAATAAAGTGATAATAATAATAATAAAGATATAATAATAATAAAGTAATAATAAAGTGATAATAATAATAAAGATATAGTAATAAAGTGATAATAAAGTGATAATAAAGTGATAATAAAGATATAATAATAATAAAGATATAGTAATAGGATAATAGAGTGATAATAATAATAAAGTTATAATAAAGTGGTAATAATAAAGATAATAAGTAATAATAGATATAGATAATAATAAAGTGATAATAAAGTAATAATAAAGTGATTTAATAAAGTGATAATAAAGTGACAATAATAATAAAGATATAATAGTAATACAGTGATAATAAAGATATAATAAAGATATAATAATAAAGATATAATAATAATAATAAAGTATAGTAATAAGTATATAAAGATATAATAATAATAAAGTAATAATAAAGTAATAATAAAGTGATAATAATAATAAAGATAAAATAATAATAAAGTGATAATAATAATAAAGATATAATAATAATAAAGATAATAATAAAGTAATAATAAAGTGATAATAAAGATATAATAATAATAAAGATAGTAATAAGATAATAAAGTAATAATAAAGTAATAATAAAGTGATAATAAAGTAATAATAAAGTGATAATAAAGATATAATAATAATAAAGATATAATAATAATAAAGTAATAATAAAGTAATAATAAAGTGATAATAAAGTAATAATAAAGTGATAATAAAGTGATAATAATAATAATAAAGATATAATAATAATAAAGTGATAATAAAGATATAATAATAATAAAGATATAATAATAATAAAGATATAATAATAATAAAGTGATAATAAAGTGATAATAATAATAAAGATATAATAATAATAAAGATATAATAATAATAAAGATCTAATAATAATAATAAACTCCGGTCCTCTCACCGAGCATTGATCCGCCCTGCAGCAGCACATGAACCGGCCCACTCAGGGTCCTCTGTCCCCGCTGGGTCTCCAGCCGCTCTCTGGTCCTCTGGCTCCCCGCCCTCACCCTCTCCAGGTCCCGGTCCAGGTGAGCCACCTCCCTCCTCAGCCGGCCCACCTGGCTCCGCAGCTGCTTCTCCAGCTGGAACCCGGCCGCGATGCTGCTCTTCAGCTCGGCCTCCAGCCGGCCGAGCTCCGCCCTCAGAGCCCGGTTGTCCCGCAGCACTTCGGCGCAGGTGTCCCGGTGCAGCTCGGTTACTGTGGCGGTTAAATCTCTCCCGATGTCCCGGAGGATTTCAGGAAGTGTGTCCGCCTCCGTCCCGCCTCCGTCCCGCTGCAGCGCGGCGACGGTGTCCCGGAGAGAGAGGTCCACCGCGGTCCGTGTCCGGTTCTCAAAGCTGTCGTTAACACCGGCGTCCATCTTTATTACCCCAGAGTTTTCTCCTCCGCCATTCTCTTTATATTCGACCGTTAATATAAAACATTTAACTGCTTTTTAAAGTGGTTGTTTTTGTTTTTGTAGCGTGAAGCGCACTGACTGAAGGGAGCGGAGATTTGTAGTCCGGAAACGCTGCTGTTGGTGCGCATGCGCACACAGTTTTGCCAAACGCATGCTCAGTCCGTTTCATGAATATTGATTAATTATCGGTGTTTAGAATTGTAGTTATTTTATTTAAACATTTATCAAGGCAAACATAAAATACTAATAATAATGATCAATTAAAAAATAATGCTTTTATTTATTTATTTTTGACATTTAAAAATAAATAAATAAAAGAATCAGTATCATTAATAATCAAAATACATTTATTTAATAAAATGACAAAAATAAATAAATAAAAGAATCAGTATCATTAATAATCAAAATACATTTATTTAATAAAATGACAAAAATAAATAAATAATGCACAATGGATCTTTTTTAAATTTTCTGTTTACATTTTCTTCATATTTATACATTTATTGTGTTTCCCAGTTTAATCTATTTGATTCTACATTAATTAATTTACTTATTTATTTAAAAACAAAAACCCGTAGGTTAAATAAATAAATACACACAGGAACAAACAATCTAATTTAAGTTAGATAACCTATTATTCTATTTGTTGGTGCTAAACCAATAAAACTGAATTTAATTTACATTGAATTATTGTGTATTATTCTATATTGTTGTGTATTGTTGTGTATTGTTTTGTATTATTGTGTATTGTTGTGTATTATTGTGTATTGTTTTGTATTATTGTGTATTGTTGTGTATTGTTGTTGTGTATTATTGTGTATTATTGTGTATTGTTTTGTATTATTGTGTATTGTTGTGTATTGTTGTTTTTTGTGTATTGTTGTGTATTGTTGTGTATTGTTGTGTATTATTCAATTCAATTCAATTCAATTTTATTTGTATAGTGCAAATTCATAATAGAAGTTATCTCAGGACACTTTTCAAATAGAGCAGGTCTAGACCGAACTCTTTAACATTATTTACAGAGACCCAACAGTACCACCATGAGCAAGACCTTGGAGACAAGGGCAAGGAAAAACTGCCTGTTAAAAGGCAGAAACCTAGGACAGATCCTCCGGCTCTAGGTGGGTGGTCGTCTGTCTCGACCAGTTGGGGTGAGAGAGAGAGAGAGAGAGAGAGAGAGAGAGAGAGAGAGACAGACAGACATAGAGACAGACAGACAGACAGGTGCACAGCAACAACAGTATTGGTAATGGCAGTCAAGCAGGACCATGGCAGGAGGCTCCACCAGGATCCATGAGAACCTGCGAGACGAGAAAGCACAAGAACTCTGGGGAAGAAGTGAAGTTAGTAACATGCATTAATGGAACATGAATGAGTGCAGAAAGAGAGAGGAAGAGAGTAGCTCAGTGCACCATGGGAAATCCCCCGATAGTCTAGGCCTATAGCAGCATAACTAAGGGATGGTTCAGGACTCACCTGATCCAGCCCTAACTATAAGCTTTATCAAAGAGGAATGTCTTAAGCCTACTCTTGAATGTGGTGAGGGTGTCTGCCTCCCGAACCACAACTGGAAGCTGGTTCCACAGGAGAGGAGCTTGGTAACTGAAGGCTCTGGCTCCTGTTCTACTTTTATTATTTTTATTATATTATTTTATTGTGTATTATTGTGTATTATTGTATATTGTTGTGTATTGTTGTGTATTATTGTGTAATATTGTTGTGTATTGTTGTGTATTGTGTATTATTGTGTATTGTTGTGTATTGTTGTGTATTATTGTGTATTGTTGTGTATTGTTGTGTATTATTGTGTAATGTTGTGTATTATTGTGTATTATTGTGTATTATTGTGTAATATTGTTGTGTATTGTTGTGTATTATTGTGTATTATTGTGTATTATTGTGTATTGTTGTGTATTGTTGTGTATTATTGTGTATTGTTGTGTATTATTGTGTATTATTGTGTATTATTGTGTAATATTGTTGTGTATTGTTGTGTATTATTGTGTATTATTGTGTATTATTGTGTAATATTGTTGTGTATTGTTGTGTATTATTGTGTATTATTGTGTAATATTGTTGTGTGTTGTTGTGTATTATTGTGTATTATTGTGTATTATTGTGTAATATTGTTGTGTGTTGTTGTGTATTATTGTGTATTATTGTGTAATATTGTGTATTATTGTGTGTTGTTGTGTATTATTGTGTATTATTGTGTATTATTGTGTAATATTGTTGTGTGTTGTTGTGTATTATTGTGTATTATTGTGTAATATTGTGTATTATTGTGTGTTGTTGTGTATTATTGTGTATTATTGTGTATTATTGTGTAATATTGTTGTGTGTTGTTGTGTATTATTGTGTATTATTGTGTAATATTGTGTATTATTGTGTATTATTGTGTAATATTGTGTAATATTGTTGTGTGTTGTTATTAATATTAATGTGAATCCTGGAGCACACTGCCGGCCTCTATACCCACACCCGTTGAGTCTCCGTCACTTTGAGGTGGAAG